TGCAGGTACTTTTGTGCAACCACCACAAAAAACTATTCCACCTCCAACTCTAGTAATTTATTACTTCGAGTTGGTTTTTGGTTTTCGTTTGGCAGTACACATAAAAACTATTTTACGGAGGAACACAGTATTCAGGTCTAAATTGCTAGGCCTGTCCTCCATCGGCCGTTTTGCTTGTATGACGGAGAATAAGAAGGTGGAATTACTTGAAATTAGTATAGAAATAAAGTTTGTGTATCTAAGTCGAAAATAAAACGGCCGATGGAGGACAGGCCTATAAATTGCCCTGAAATTGTTTTTTTGAAATATTTTTTTTTATGCTTTTTTATCCGAAAATATACGCATTTGTGGCCTTCAGAACAGATCTAACAACATACTCGCACGATTGAGAGCGAAGTATCTGATTGAGAGCGAGATCGTGCGATACGATGTAGCTTGTCTACTGCTGAGAGGTAGAGCTTGCTGTGCGGCTTGAATTGAAGGGCTTGCCCATTGCTACAAGACGATACCCGGGTCATCCTGCGGGTGTCTCGCGTTGTGGAGCTACACCGCGNTAAATTGCCCTGAAATTGTTTTTTTGAAATATTTTTTTTTATGCTTTTTTATCCGAAAATATACGCATTTGTGGCCTTCAGAACAGATCTAACAACATACTCGCACGATTGAGAGCGAAGTATCTGATTGAGAGCGAGATCGTGCGATACGATGTAGCTTGTCTACTGCTGAGAGGTAGAGCTTGCTGTGCGGCTTGAATTGAAGGGCTTGCCCATTGCTACAAGACGATACCCGGGTCATCCTGCGGGTGTCTCGCGTTGTGGAGCTACACCGCGGAGCAGAAGCTACGTACGGGGCCTACCGCGCTAGGCGACGGCGCCCTGAAACAGTTTCGGGCAGGAATAGCCAATCTGGGAAAATCTAGCAACGTGCGTAGCTCCTCGCTGCTGCAGCCGATCGCAGTGACACGCATATGCACGCGAAGCTGCTGAAGAGAGCTTCAATTTGCGCCGCTTTTTGGGAGAGCCCGTCCCCTGCTTCCCGAGAAATGACGGGAGGCGTCTGGATCCGAATTTCGAATTTTTTCGGTTCCCGCTCTCAATCGGAAACTTCGCTCTCAATCGTGCGAAAACCCTGTTATCTNTACGGGGCCTACCGCGCTAGGCGACGGCGCCCTGAAACAGTTTCGGGCAGGAATAGCCAATCTGGGAAAATCTAGCAACGTGCGTAGCTCCTCGCTGCTGCAGCCGATCGCAGTGACACGCATATGCACGCGAAGCTGCTGAAGAGAGCTTCAATTTGCGCCGCTTTTTGGGAGAGCCCGTCCCCTGCTTCCCGAGAAATGACGGGAGGCGTCTGGATCCGAATTTCGAATTTTTTCGGTTCCCGCTCTCAATCGGAAACTTCGCTCTCAATCGTGCGAAAACCCTGTTATCTTTGGACACCCATGAGGAGGACACGAGTATGAACGTGGAATTAAAAGAAAGCTCATGACCTCAGCTCTCTGCAGATACCCGAGTTGCTCTCAGAAGTTATGTATTCCGTACAAAATATGCAGCTGAAAAGAGGCACTTCAAGCGCCTTGTTTTCACTGGGAAATAGGGTTGGAGCAGCCTGGTTCTGAATTGGCAACGCAAACAGAACGTTTTGGAAACCCTGGGAGTGTGCGATCGGGGCAGCGGGCCCCTTTTCGAAATCCAACACGTCGGTGTCGAGCACTCTGCTGTGGAACAGAGGCACCTTGGGTCTGGTGCCCACGGCTGCACGTGTGCACATGGTGACCAAACGGAAGGGTCGCTATGTTGCGACCGGCGTGACAGCCAAAGGGAAGGCCAGGACGGAGAA